TCCTCCTTGTTCTTTTATCTTTCTTTCTCCCTCCCTCCTTATTTTTCCTCCCTCCTTCCTGTTTCCTTTCTTCCTCCCTCCTTTCCTTCCTTTTCTCCTTTCCTCCTTGTTCTTTTACCTTTCTATCTCCCTCCCTCCTTATTTTTCTTTCCTCCCTCCCTCCCCTTTCCTTCCTTTCTTCCTCCCTCCTTTCCTTCCTTCCTTTTCTCCTTGTTCTTTTACTTCTTTCTCCCTCCCTCATTTTTCTTTCCTTCCTCCCTCCCTCCTCTTTCCTTCCTTTCTTCCTCCCTCCTTTCCTTCCTTCCTTTCCTCCTTTCCTCCTTGTTCTTTTATCTTTCTATCTCCCTCCCTCCTTATTTTTCTTTCCTCCCTCCCCCCCTTTCCTTCCTTTCTTCCTCCCTCCTTTCCTTCCTTCCTTTTCTCCTTGTTCTTTTACCTTTCTTTCTCCCTCCCTCCTTATTTTTCTTTCCTTCCTCCCTCCCTCTTTCCTTCCTTTCTTCCTCCCTCCTTTCCTTCCTTCCTTTTCTTCTTTCCTCCTTGTTCTTTTATCTTTCTTTCTCCCTCCCTCCTTATTTTTCCTCCCTCCTTCCTCTTTCCTTCCTTTCTTCCTCCCTCCTTTCCTTCCTTCCTTTTCTCCTTTCCTCCTTGTTCTTTTATCTTTCTTTCTCCCTCCCTCATTTTTCCTCCNTAAGCATAAAACCATCACCGTCTTTTGCACCGGAATATTAATTCATTCCTGCGTAATGTTGCCCTTCCACTATTTTTTCCTGGTCCTTCTTCGCCATTGGCAGGAAGAAACCTAAAAGCCATCTCAACAGGAGCAATCTTCTGCCACCGTATTATTTTGAGGCAGCCTGCATGTGGAGGGAACCAGAAACAAAGCTTTCCTTTGGATTTTCAATGTCCTTCTCATGATCATTTTTATGAAGCTGCCAAGGCTTGTTACATAGCTTTCTAAGGCCACCAGTGCTCCTGGCAACACTCGAGGTGAATGTAGAGGGGCATTCCGTTCTTCCTCCTGACTCCCCGTGCCAAACTCCCGGGGAGAAAAATAGTAGACACCCGTCTTCTAAATATTCAACCAAGCTCACAACCAAACAGACAGCACCAAGGACCTACAAATATTCTGCTTTATCGGCAAATATTGGCAAAACATTGAAAACTTAAATCTCTGGATGCATTAATGTACCAATTATGATCAACACATGGGTTAAAGTCCCAGTGACAGTTGTTGTGACCCGACAGCAGCCAGTGGAGCTGGCAGCCGATTCGGACAGTGAGGAGGTTGAGGAGGAACCTGCACCAGTCCTGGAATCTGGGGAAGGTTCTGATGAAGGCTCTGTGTCGGAGGCAGAAAGGGGGCCAGAGCCATATGCCAGTTATCAGCTGTTCTCAGTGAGGCAGATGAACAGCTGGAGCCAGTTCCCAGTGTGTGCATGCACAGAATTGCCAGACGAAGGGAACAACTAAAGAACAGGGGGCGACTTGGGAATAAGGCCAAACTATGAATGACCCTTCCCTGAGGAAATAAAAGAGGAGCGTAAGGGGAGTGGAGTTTGCAGGAGACAATTAGTTCGCTTAATTGGTTCATGACTCTCCAAGACTCCTTACCAATTTCTCCAGATATCGGCCTGGCAGCACACCAAGCCAGATAAGGTTCTGTGACTATAAATCCCCCTTTGAAAGATTTTCCCAGCTGGGGATGAGCAGAATTCACTGTAAATTAATAAAAGGGGTTTTTTTTGCCGGGACAAGGAGTTTGTTTCTTGCTCTTGGGAAGCCTCAGTCAGAACAACAGCAAGACCCAAGCACACATGTAATACTGTGATCAGGATTTTTTTTTAAAAATAAAGTCAATCCTGCATGGATTTCTTCAAAGTAGCACTGCCAAAGTGTATTCTACTCTAGCAATTGCTTCATGGCTGAGCAATCTTCTTCCCCATAACAACATCCTGTAAGGTTGGTTGGGCAGAGTGACTGGCCTCAGGTGATCCACGAAACTTCCTCGGTTGAAGTTCGACCTGGGTCTCCCCTGGACTAGTTAAACACCTTCACCAATTAAATCACACTAGTACCTTGAGTCACATCTGTTTTTATTAATTTTAAACCTGGGCATTTACTACGACATGGTGGATGAAAGGCAGGAGAAATCATCTGTGGGTGTGTTAAAATTTAAGTTCCACGTGTTGATAAATTCTGTTACCTGCTCTCAAAAGAAAGTATATATCTACCTACACACATACATAACACACAGAGACAGACACACATACACATAAATATTAATCACTGTCCGTTTTGAATACATAGCGGAACAAGGAAACCTGAAAGTTCACAAGGTCAATGCACAAAACTGTGACTGAATAGATGTTCTGCTTCGGATACCTCAAAGCTTCCTCTCAGAAGGTAACAAGGAAAACAGGTTGTGGAGAGGGTGTGTAGCAACAATACTGTGAACCCTGCTCAAGTATCGTTTATATCAGGGGTGGGTTTCTCGCCCCGTTCCAACTGGTTCGGTTGGAACGAGGCCGGCAGCGTCCTCGCGCATGCGTGTGGCGTGCGCATGCACGCGCGTGGCGCACGCATACATACTAGCGTCTGTGCGATGCTCCAGCTGCTCCTGGAGGATCGCGCAGGCGCTGTATGCGTCCTGCGCATGCGTGGAAGCGCAGAATTCATCAAAAACAGGTAATGAGCGGGCGCGGACGCGGCCTTCGCCGTTCCCGGAAGTTACTTACTTCCGGGTTCGGCGACCAACCGGATCGCAGGGACCGCCGTGAACCGGTTGAAACCCACCCCTGGTTTATATGCTATGTCTTAAGCATCGTTTATATGCTATGTCTTAACCAACTCAAGGTCCGATGACTGGATCTGGCCTGCGGGCCCACGAGGGCCACACTAGAAACAGCAAAGGAATGGCCCGCGGTGCCTCTGCTAGCAAAAATGGAGTTCGAGCGGGCTGCATGAGGCCCTCTCAGCAGAGGTGGGTTCCTACTGGTTTGGACTGGTTTGGCTAAACCGGTAGCAACTTGGCGGCCGGGGTCGCTGAAACCGGCAGCGCCCAAGCCCTGCCATGCCCCCGAACTGATTCTCTCAGCGGCGCAATAGGCAGTGCTATCTTGTTTTTGCCTTCTGCACATGCGCAGAGTAATTTTTGTTGCACTGCAT